CCGCCCCGCCCCGCCCCCTTATGCCCCCCGAGCCCTGCTCCCTTCCCTTGCTTCCTTTGCCCTGCTCCTCGCCCCCCCCCCATAACCGCCTTCCGCCCCATTACCGTGCCCGTGCCCGCCAAGCCGGCCTCGCCCTCTTCCCTCTTCCCTCTTCCCTCTTCCCTCTTCCCTCTTCCCTCTTCCCTCTTCCCTCTTCCCCGCGTGATGATCCCCCGCTACCCTCCCTTTTCTCCCTGCCTACTCGGCGTCCCACCCCTCTCCCTCCGGCCGCGCTCCCCCTTCCCCCTCTCTTGCGCGCGCACTCGCACTCGCACACATACACACATCTTGCTGACCCCGTTTCCCTCCGTCCTCTCCGGCCCCGCGCTGCCCTGCCGCACCCTCTCGCTTGCCCTCGCGCTCCCTCTCTCTCTGCCTCCTCCCTCCGGCCCTCGCCGCGTGTTGTGTGTGTGTGTGTGTCACACAGATTCCTGTGTTTGGATCACAATATAGAGACCCCCAACATCACCATGTTCGTCTCCTCCCTCCTCCTCCCCCCCTTTTGATCGCCTGCTCCCCTCTCTCTCTCTCCCTCTCTCTCTCTCTCTTGCGCGCGCTTTCTCTCCCTCTTGCCGGCCTCTCCCCCCCCACCCGCCTGTGCACGGCCACGCGTGTCGCCTCCCTCCTTCCTCTAACCCCTCCCCCTTGTTCTCGGCCTCCTCCCTCCCCCGGCATGTGCTGGCCCTTCTTCACAACACAGGGTTAACAACGACATCAACATCGAGGTGCGCCCGGGTCTCTCGCTCCCCCCTTCCTGTTGACCCCCGACAACAGCACACACGCGCGGCCACCACGGCCCGACCTATGCATCTGCCTCTCTCTCCCTCTCTCTCTCTCTCGCCCCCCCCGTCTCAGTGTGCTGACCGCCATTTCCTCCCCGTTCCCGCGTATCCAGGCGTCGAAGGAGCTCGACATCTACACCTCCTTCGACCAGATGGGCCTCCATGACGCCCTCCTCCGCGGTGTCTACGGTGTCGGGTACGTCGTTCGGCGGCTCCCGGCCCCGGGCTTTCCGCCCTTCCACCCCCCTCCCCCTCCCGCCGTGCCTGACATCTCTCCCCCTCTCCCCCCTCCCCTCCCGGTGGCGCGATGTCCGCAGTTTTGAGAACCCCTCCGCCATTCAGCAGCGCGCCATCGTCCCGATCATCCGCGGCTCCGATGTCATTGCCCAGGCCCAGTCCGGTACCGGTAAGACCGCCACCTTCACCATCTCGGTCCTGCAGCGCATCGACCTGAGCCAGCGCCACTGCCAGGCCCTCATCCTGGCTCCCACCCGTGAGCTGGCCACCCAGATCTTCAACTTCATGAACAGCGTCAACACCCACCTGCGCGCTTCCATCTACGCCTGCATCGGTGGTACCCCCTGCGCTCGGACATCGAGGCCTTCCGCAGCGGTGTGCAGATCGTTGTCGGTACCCCGGGCCGTGTGTGCGACATGGCTCACCGTGGCATCCTGGATCTCTCCCGCCTGGCCATCTTCGTCCTGGATGAGGCTGATGAGATGCTTTCCCGCGGCTTCCAGAACCAGATCCGCGAGATCTTCCAGCTCTTCCCCAAGGACTCGCAGGTGGTTCTCCTGTCGGCCACCATGCCGCAGGAGGTCCTCGAGCTGACCGACTCCTTCATGGAGGACCCCACCCGGATCCTGGTCCGCGCTGAGGAGCTCACCCTCGAGGGTATTCGCCAGTTCTACATCGGCGCCAACACCCACGCCCAGAAGCTGGAGATCCTGCGCGATCTCTACGAGACCCTGATCATCACTCAGTCCGTCATTTTCTGCAACTCCCGCCGCACCGTCGACCACCTGACCTCCTTCCTGGAGGGCAACAACTTCCCGGTTGCCTCTCTGCACGGTGAGCTGTCGCAGGAGAACCGCGAGAGCGTCATGCTGAACTTCCGCAACGGTGACTCTCGTGTCCTGGTCACCACCGATCTGCTGGCCCGTGGTATCGACGTCCAGCAGGTGTCCCTGGTCATCAACTTCGACATCCCTCGCAACTTCGAGAACTACATCCATCGCATCGGTCGTGGTGGTCGTTTCGGTCGTAAGGGTATCTCCATCAACATCTGCTCCGACGATGAGCTCGTCCTCATCGACCAGATCCGCAAGCTGTACGACACCACCATCGACCCCCTGCCCGAGAACTACAGCCAGTACATCTCCGGTTAAGGCGGCGGCCGTCGGGCGCGGGGGCTCTGCACGACGGTGCGCCTCTCCAGGTAGCAGCGGCAGCAGCAACAGCAGCGGCAGCGGCAGCCTGGCTCCCTCCCCTCCTTGTGTGTGTGTGCGTGCGTGAGCAGCAGAGGAGGTCGTGCACACATGTCCCCATGCGTGGTGGTGGTGGTGTGCGGTCTCATATGCCTCCCCTTCCTTTCTTCGCCGCCGCCGCCGCCAGCCGCCAGGCCCTTCTTCCTCTTCTTCTCTCCTTCTTGCTCCGAAGACGCCTTCGCTCCTCCTCCCCCCTCCCTGTGTGCATGCCCCCTTCTCGCCCGCGCGCCCCTCCTTGCCTTTCGGCAGGAGGCCCGGGCTGAGCATTGGCCTGCGCGAGAAGAGGCGGGGGGGGGGGGGCAGGAGGCAAGGCCCGCCCCTTATGGGGGGGGCACGGGGCACCGCACAGAAGGTGAACAGAAGGGGGTCTGTGGGGCGGCGTCGGCTGGGAAAAGGGGCAGAGCAAGGGGGAGGGCGGGGGTGTACGTGCGTGTGTGTGTGTGTGTGCGCACCTCACCTTCTCCGTGTGTGCTTGCGCATTCGCGCGCTCCCCCCCCCTCCCTCCCCCTCGCTCTTGTTGTTCCTGCGTTGCGCGCGTGTCTTCCCTTCCCTCTCGCCCTTCCTCTCTCCCCCCTTGTCGTGTGCGTACGCGCGAGCCGTAGTCCTTCCCCCCCCCCCTCTCCTGCTCCCTCTATTACCTGTGTATGTGTGTGCGTGTGCCTTCCCCCCTCACGCACATGCGCACAGCGGGGCGGGATCCGGAGGAGGGGGGTCGTCCTCCGTGTTGCTCTGCGCGCGCCCCCGGTGCCCCATACGTCATCGGGGTGGCATCTTGTTCCTCCCTCTCCCCGGGGGTTCCCTCCTCCCAGGCTGGGGGCCGGGCGTTGCTTCCCCGTTGTCTCCTTCTCCCTCTCTCTCTCTCCTCCTCCTCCCCGCAACCCCCTCCCTCCTTCCTTCTCCTCCCTCCCCCCACTTGTTACCTTGTCCAATATCCACCCCCCCTTATATCATCAGGCGTGTTCTCCGTGTGTTTTTCCCTCCATCTTTCTCTCTTCACCTCTCTTTGTGTACCGCTGTTTTCTCCCCCCTCCCCCCTTGGTTCTCCGTATCTCGACGTGTGATGTGCACGGGCGCCGGGGGGGCCGCGAGGCGCGGCCGCACGCCCTCGTGCCCCCTCGAGCAGGGGGAGCCTGTGGAGCCGCGCCGGTGCAACATGGCTGGCCGCACGATTTCCCAGGGGGCGAGGGGGGCAGCCTCTGGTATGCGGGGGCGCATCCACAGCGAGGGGGGCCTCACACTTTGGCCAGAAGAAGAACACGGCCCGGGACCGCGCCCGGACACCCGCATATGTGTCCCTGCCGCTTCCTATTCAATACACGGGCGCAGATGTGTTGTCCCCGCAGTCGCCACCGCCGCCGCTGCCACCGGGGGCGAGGGGGGGGGGGGGACGCCGTCGCCTGCGCCGCGCGTGTCGCTGCTTCCCCCTCCCTCCAGCTGGGGACGGGTCTCGGGGGGAGGACGGGCAACGCGGTGGCCCAGGCCGGCCATGCTCGCCCGGATCACGCCCTCCTTCTTCATGACGTACACGTGTTCAAAGGCGGCGCCTCCCGCCCGATCGACCCCCGAGGTCGGTGTGGGGGAGGCCCGTCCGCCCGCCTCCCCCCGTACCTGCCTGACTGCCCCCCCCCCCCCTCCCGGGTCTTCGCCGATGTCGCCGTGGGGGCACGCCATGTGCGGTGGTGGTGGTGGTGGTGGTGGGGGGATCGCGCCCAACTCGTCTTCCGCCTCCGCGGTGCGGCATCCGGCGGCAGGGGGAGGGGCTTTTTCGGGCTGACTCGTCCCGGAGAGGGGCGATCTGGCGGAGAAATCCCCCCTCCTCTCCTCCTCCTCCTCCACTTGACTCTGTACCCTTGCGTGGGACGGATCTGCCCTCCATTCGCCCCTCCCCTTGCTCCTCATCCCCCCCCCCCCCTCCCTCCCCGCTTGCCTCGGCACCAGTTTTGTGCAGACCATCGGCCCGGCAATGGACCCTCCCCCAGGCGCGCCGGCCTCGGCCAGTCCGCTGGATGATGTGTCCCTGAGCTCGATGCTTTCGTCGCGGCGGTTCCTCCGGCGGTCGGTGTTCTCGCTGCCGGAGGGGGCCGTGCCGCCGGCTGGCGCGCCAGACGCCCCGGCTCAGGTCGGCCGAGTGACGATCCTCCAATCGTCGGCTGCCGACGAGGAGCCCAGCGACCCGGGCCCCGTCCCGGCCTCGGCTCCCATCAGCCGACGGCTGACCACCGTTCGCCCGGTCGCGCGCGAGACGGCACAGCTGCGCGAGGCCCGCTTGCAGGACTGCCAGCTGTGTTTCCTGCGCCACCAGGAGGCCCCTCCACCGGCGGGGTCGGACTTTGATTTCCGCACGGCGCCGGTGGCCGCGCCGTACCGGTGCAACCGCTGCCAGGTGCCCTACTGCTCGGTCCGGTGCTTCGCCGACTCGCCGCTGCACGTCCGCTGCCGGGAGGACTTCTCCCGCGACCAGGTGGTTGGCGAGCTGCGTGGCAAGCGGGCCGACCGGGAGGACGGCCGGGCGGTGGTCCGGGCCCTGACCCGGGCCTGGCACGAGGAGCGGCCCGGTGCGGCGGCAATCCGGCCGGATCGAGCTTTCGGTATGTTGGCACCCTGTGCTGCCTCTCGGAGACTGGAGGGAGGCCCGCCTGCCGCTGACATGCCCATCTCGCACCTGCTCTTTCTCCCCCCCCCCCCCCCCCCCGCCCCGGCCTGGGGCTGTGGTAGATGATGCGACGGACGCCGCAGCCGGCGAGCTGACCGATGGGGAGGAGGCGCCGGCGGACGAGCGCGGCCTCGAGGCATTGGCCGACCCGGAAAATGCCCCGGCCCCGGCCCTCTGGGCGTCCATCAGTGCGGAGGACCGTCTGGAGCTTGTGCGAGCCATCCTCCTTGGCGATCCGGAGCAGGCCACCGAGGAGGCACGCACCCTGCGCGAGCACCTGACGGCGGGCATTGAGGCCATCCGCGCGGCCGGGACCGCGCGGCCGGACGACACGCCCGAGGCCATTGGCGTGGCGCTCTTCGAGCAGATGATCTCCCCCCCGGCGGCGGCTGGGCCCGGCCAGCGGGCAGCAGCCGCCGATGGCGACCCCGCCGCCCTGGACATCACGTCCGTGGCCGAGCTTCGGGCGCGCGAAATGGACCAGGCCCGGCGCTGGGCCCCATGGTGGGCGACCCGGCGACGGGCGGCCCCCCGGCCGGATGGCGTTCCCTCGGTCCTCCTTCACCCGGAGGATGTCGGTGCGTGCGCGCCCTGTGCCAGTTGTGCCAGTCGTGCCCCTTCCCAGCCTCCCCCCCCCCGCCCGGCGGTGAGACTGACAGCCTTCCTTCCCCGCCATGCGCAGCACATGGGGCACGCTCCGGGTGTGCCCTCTTCCAGCAGGCCCTTTCAACTCGCCTGCCGCCGAGCATCAACCACCTGGTCATCCTGGTCCAGCTGCTGGACTTCCTGTGCGCACATTTCCTCTTCCTCGAGACCGAGAGCCACGGCCCCCCCTGGGCCTGGGCCTTCCGTCCCTCTCACACCTCGTGCCACCGCTGACGCCCCTCTCTCGCCCCCCTCTCGCCCCCCTCTCGCCCCCCTCTCGCCCCCCTCTCGCCCCCCGCCGTCAGCCTGGCATACAGTTATGTTGTCCGGCTGCATGGTTTCAGTGGAGCCGGCGATGCGTCGGCCTGCAGCCCGAGCTGCCTATCCTGCCGGCCGCATGTCATCGAGGAGGACGCCATCCCGCCGGCGGCCGGCGGCCCGTGTGAGGGCCTGCTCTTCCGGGACTTCCTGGCCGTTTCCCGGCTGTATGGCGCGGCTGTGGTCGATGGACGCCGGGAGCTGCTGAACATCGAGAAGGCGGCGGCGGCGGCGGCCACCCTGGCCGCGCAGCCCGCCCCCTCGGCCGATGCCGAGCCGCCATCGCCGGTCGTTGTGCTTGCGGCCGAGAATGCCGATGGGCAGCCCGCGCCGGTTGTCGCCCTGCAGCAGGTTCTCTGGTACTGCGTGTCGGCTTTTGCGCTGCACGTTCGACTGGTGCGCTTGCAGCAGCCTGCTCTGCCGCCTTTGTCTCGCCCTCCCCCGCGCCGCTCCGGGCCCCGCCTTTCTCGCACCCTGGCTGACATATATGCACCGCCCCTCTGCCGCGGCATTTGCCGCACGACCGGCGCCCCGCCACCAGGACCGGGGGCTCTTTGTGTCGGACGCCTTCACCAGCGCGGCGGTGGACGATGTGGCGACCATCCTCGGGGGCCAGGGGGCGCCGCACCTCCCATCGGGACCCGTCTCCAATGGCGGCCAGGAGGCCGTGGTGTCGGCGCTGCTGCACGTGCAGGGCTGGGCGCTTGGTTGCGGCCGGGCGGCCGATGCGTGCCCCCATGCAGGCCGGCGCGGCTCGACCGTGGCCTCCCCGGGGCTGCGGCGGCGGCAGCGGACGGCCTCGCAATCTGGGCCCAAGCCGGATGCCCGGCGCGCGGTGACCCAGGCCTGCATGCGCCTGCGGCTGACGACCGCTTGGGTGGTGGCCGGCGGGCTGGGGACCGCCACGGCCGACCTGGCTGGTGACGACGCCAGCCAGTCGACCCTCGGCGGCGGGGACGGGGACGGGGGCAGCGAGGCCGAGCGTCTGCTCGGGGTGGTGTCGCCCCTGTTGCAGCAGCGGCATCGGCCGGGCCCCGCCGGCACGCACCGCCCGGTCGTGGTGGCCGGCGAGCCCTCAGGCGCCGGAGATGTGGAGAGCGCCGGGCCGGTCACGCCGGCGGGCCGGCTGGCGCGCGAGCTCCGTCTCCTGGTGGCCGGGCTCCAAAGTCAGCAGGCCCTGGTGGACATGCTTGGTCAGTCGATTGCCCGGATGTTGCGGCATCCCGACGGCCGGGGTGGCCGTAGCACGGCCAGCCCGGAGGAGGTCGATAGTTGAGCCCGGGCGCGGTCGGCGAAAGCCCCCCTCCCCCCCCCCCTCCAATGAAGATCTCTTCGTGCTTCTTCTTGTTGCCCCGCCCGGAAAAAAAAAAGGAGGCGCGCGGAGGGGTGGCAGGGTAGCAGTGGGAAAGTGAGTTGACATTGGGTGTATTTTCTGTCACACAGCGCGCGCACATGCGCGCGCGTGTGTGTGTGTGTGTGTGGAGGGGGCATGTGTGTACACAGGCCACCACACGGGAAGGGCGCGCGCGGCGGCGAGGGCGGGCAGCTTGTGGGGGATTTACTCAATGACGTGAGAGCCGGACCCGGGGCTGGAGCGGTCGCGGATGATCTGCTCAGTGAACTCGCGCTTGCCGAGGACCTCGAGCTGGCTGTGGTTGGGGCGGAGGGTGTCGAAGACCTGCATGGGGGGAGGAGAAGCGGTGCGTCAGCGACCAGGAAGGGGGCATATGGAGGTGTGTGTGTGCGTGCGTGTGCATGTGTGTCAGGGGAGGGGGGAGGGGGGGGGGACACATACCAGGGAGTGGTGGGTGCGCATGCGGGCGGCCTTGATCTTGCTGACCTTCGGGCCCCACCAGCTGAGGAGGACGTCGCGGTAGAGGGCGTTGCCGTCCTTGATGTCGGTGATGCGGAGGAGGATGTACAGGACCTTGTCCTCGGCGAGGCGCTCCTTGAGGACCTCGACGCCGCCTGGGGTCATGCGCATGGGAGGGACACGGCAGGGTGCTCGGGGGGGTCAGCGACGGGAGGTGCGCGCGTGCGTGCGTGCGTGTGCGTGTGCGTGTGTGTGTGGGTGGGTGGCGGTGCAGCTGGGGGTGCGCGCACCGGTGCCAGACTCCAGGACGGTCAGGGTGTTGTCGTCCTTGTAGCCGGTGATGAGGAAGGAGCCGGCCGGGTTGGTGGGGCTCAGGTGCTGGTGGACGGCATCGGCCACGGCGCGGGTGTTGTCCCAGCTCATGTTGTCGGTGGTATGCGGAGGGGGGGGGGAGAGGTGAAAAGGGGGCGCGAGGGCAGAGGGCAGAGGAATTCCGCACTCAAAAAAAAAGAGGTGTCTGATCCCTGGGGCAGGCCGCGGCCCGGGGGGGGGCCATTTATGTGGCCGGCTCCCCGTGCACGCGCGCGGCAGTTCCTTGGCGCCGGGGCGGCTGGGCGGGGGGAGAAGGCGGGGCCGGTCTGCGGGGGACAGGGCTGGTGGCCGCCGGGGTGTGTCTCCGTCATGATGTGCGTCCCCCCCCTCTGGCGCGCGGGTCCCTGGACTTCTTTCCCCGGCTGTGGCGTTGTCTGGGCTGCCGCTCTGTTTCCCGCCCTGCCACCGCGGCTGCCCGTGAGGGGGGGGGGAGGGGGGCTGGCGCTGCCCACCCTGAATTGGACGCCGGGGTCGGACCCCCGGCGCCGGCCCGGCAAGGTGTAGCGGCCCCGACATCAATTGGGAGATGGCCGGCCATTTTGGGCGCGCGACCGCGTCCCGCCCCGTCCCCCCCCCCCCCTCGGGGCAGAGGGGGCGCGGCGCGGGGGCCCTGCCCCTGCACACCCCTGGACAAACATGCCAGCAGTGGGGGGACGAGCGGCCACTTTTTTTTTTGGCCGCGGCGGCGGCACCCGGGGGCGTGCTCTCAGGGTGCCACCGGAGGGTGCACGTGCGGGATGCGCCCAAGCGCACCCGCCTGGCTCTCGCACCAAAAGACAGCCATGTAGCTGGCCGCGCAGCCACTGGTGGCCGGGTACGCCCCGGCGGCCCATGGGTCTTTTCGATTCCGCGGCCAGTCTCGGGAGCCGCCCGGTGGTAGGGGCTCTCGGCCTCTCGTTTGCCTCCCCCCCCCCCCCTGCCAGACGTGCCCTCTCGTGTCGGCCCCATCTTCCCGTGCGCAGGGGACAGGGGAGGGAGCGCCCTGCAGCCGGTAGAGCCCTCAATCCCCCTCGCCTGGTCGGGGCGCGGACCGGACGCGGACACGGGCCAGAAAATTCGGCGCCCGAGCGAGGGTTGCGGATCAGAATGTCAAAGATATGTGTATTCATCTATGCACATTCCGGGGAATGTCATTCCGCAGAGGACCCACGGGGCCGCATCACGCCCGCTGTTTCACAACTTCCACGAGTTGGCGATCATGCGGTCCTCGTCGGTGTCCAGAATGAAGGGGTTGTCCAGAGCGGCGGCGATGGCGATCTCGCCGCAGAGGACGCACTCGGACGAGGCGATCTCCTCGAGTTCGCTCTGTGTGTGCGTGTGCGTGTGTGCGTATGCGCCGGGTTGGTGAGTTAGCATGGTGTGGGGAAGGTGCGAAGCGACAACAGGGGGGGGGGGGGGGGGGGGGGTGGTGCGCATCGGGGCCCAGGTGTCGAAGGCCCCCCCCTCCCCGCCCCCCTCCCCCATCGCCGGACGGCGTACCTTGCTCATTTGCACAAGGGGCGAGCTGAGGAGGGTGTCCTGCCGGCCGGTGGCGGTGTTCTGAGAGATGCGCTTCTGAAGCTCCTGGATCTTGGCGCGCTCGTGCAGCGGAGCGAAGCGCTTGCGCTGGAGGGCGGAGCACCGCAGTGGACCGGGCATGGGTTATGGCAAACATGGCAGCGGTCAGCACATCTGCACCGAGTCCTTTGGCTGGGCAGGGGGGAGCGAAGCAAAAAAAAAAAAAAAGAAGAAAAAAGGCACTGGCCGAGCCGAGGGGGCGCAAAGAACGCACCTGGTTGATGACGCAGTCCAGATGGAAGGCATGCGAGCAGGCGAAAACGATGGCCGTCCGGCTGAGAAGACCACGGTTACAAAGCCCACAGCTGGAGGTGACCGGGGCCGAGGCGGCCCGGGCGCGCAGGGCGCGGATGTCCTCACGCAGGAGCTCGGCACTGTGGGACGTGGAGTCCATGCGCTCGCGGAAGGACTCGGTCTCCTTGCTGTACTTGCGCAGGGCTTGACAGATTTGGTCTTGGAAGTGATCGATGTTGGCGAAGTCCCCGAAGAAGGGCAGCACATCCTCAATCCGGAGGCTTGGGCACTTTTCGACGAACTCCATGGCCCTATGCCGGTCGAGCACGGAGAGGGGGAGGGGAGGGGGGGAGAGTCATGGAAAGGAAAAAAGAAACAAGGGCGCGGTCGTCAGTCACAAGGGGCTCACATGGCCGTCGACAGCCATAACCGAGGCAGGGGGAGCAAGAAGGGAAGTGGGCTTGCCAGGGTGTTCCGCGCGCCCCCCCC